CCCCCTCAACAGCAACAGATCCCTAAGAAACGATAGATCCCCGCGGCAACAATAGACTCCAACAACAGCAGATCCCCCAGCAACAATAGACCTCTGCTAGCAACAATAGATCTCCCAACATCAATAGATCCCTGCAGAAACAATAGACCCCAACACAGAAAGGTCCCCCAGCAACAATAGACCTCTGCCCGCAATCCCAGAGGGAAAAAAAAGTCCTGGGTACAAACACAACAAAATGAAGGTCCAATTTGTCCTGAAAAAAATAGGTGTAATTCACCTGGATGCAGGATTTGTTTTATCCTTCATCATGAAAGGATTTAGAGACCCCATCCAAAGAGATAGCCTGTCAAAGAGATAGCCTGTCCAGCCAGCCCATCCAGCAAAGAGACAGCCCATAGCAAAGAGATGTCCAGCAAAGAGATAGCCTGTCCAGCAAAGAGGCAGCCCATCCAGCAAAGAGACAACCTGTCCAGCAAAGAAACAGCTCATCCAGCAAAGAGACAGCTCATCCAGCAAAGAGACAGCCCATCCAGCAATAAGACAGCCCATCCCTGCAATAGCCCCCCCAATAGATCCTTTAACAACAAAAGATCTAACTAGTAACAATAGATCCCCCGACAACAATATATCCACTCTGCAGCAATATATCTCTTCAGCGATAATAGACCCCCCAAAAATACAATAGACCCCACACTAACAATATACCCCTCCAACAACAGACCCCATCAGCAACAATAGATCCACCTAGCAACAATAGATCCCCCAGCAACACCGGGCATCTGCCAGCAACAATAGATCCACCTAGCAACAATAGATCTCCCAACATCAATAGATCCCTGCAGCAACAATATATCCCAACAACAGCAGATCCCCCAGCAACAATAGACCTCTGCTAGCAACAATAGATCTCCCAACATCAATAGATCTCTGCAGAAACAATAGACTCCCAACAAAGAAAAATTCCACAGCATCAATAGACCTCTGCCAGCAACAATAGACCCCTGCCAGCAACAATATATCCATCTAGCAACAACAGATCTCTCACCATCAATAGATCCCTGCAGCAACAATAAACCCCCTAACAATAACAGATTCATCAGAGACAACAGACCACCGCAGCAACAATAGACCCCCCATCAACAATATACCCCCACAACAACATATCCACCCATGCAACAATAGACCACTGCCAGCAACAATAGATCTCCCAGCAGCCAACATCAATAGACTTTCCAGTAGCCAGCAACAATAGATCCATCCCTCAACAGTACATCCCTCCTAGCAACAATTGACCCCCCCCCAGCAACAAGAGACCCCAACCGTAACAATAGACCCCCTGAGAGACAAAAGATCCCCAGCAGCCAGCATCAAAAGACCCTCCAGCACACCCCATCACTCCTTGTCATTACATACATTTAGTGTTGGAAGTTCCAGGACTGCGTCCCCCCGCACAGGGGCGGACTGACAACTCATGGGGCCCCCATGTACCTGGATGCAGGATTTGTTTTATCCTCCATCATGAAAGGATTTAGCCTATCCAAAAAAAAAAAAAAAAATAGGCTTAACATACATTTTAACAAAAACAGGAAACTAATACTGTTCAGTAAATGAGGGGAAGCACTGCTGATGTCCATCATCCAATCACGTGCAAGCAAAAATGCTGTTTTTTTCCCCCAATTTTCTTGCATGTGATTGGTTATTCTTTGCAAAGTGAAGCTTCACCTCATTTACTAAACTCTTGAGCAACTGCACTTGCAAAGTGTACAGTCTATTTGTCTTTAGTAAACCAACCCCATTATGTATTATATCACTGCCCTAATTGAAAAAAATGCATGTATAGCAAATAAAAATAGTTTAGCCTCCAGGACCTGCTATGAGCCCATAATATCTGTAAACGCAATAAAAAATAATATTTGTAAACGCAATCACTAAATCTGTGTTGATATTATTTCAAAAGTCATTTTTAATATTTTTTTTTATATCTGCAGCTTTCATTAAACTAGTACCTGGTGATCCTGCCATAAAGATCCTTCTTCAGGTATTCCCTGTTATAGGGCATCCTAGTTTCACAGTTGTGCTCCTGCGTTGTCACTTTCGCTTCCAGTGAACGCCGCAAGCACCTGTCAATGCCATGTAGACTTGAAGTGGCTGAAAAGAGGCTGCCGGTGATCAGCAGCATTGAGATGCAACAAAGGATGAACTAATGTAAAAAAAAAAAAAGATTTTATTAAAAAAAAAAGGCCATTGTTTATGAAATCCAATGCTTTAGCCAACCTAGTTAGGGTTTACATCTAGTATAAATAATAATTTCATCAAAGATAATAATAATAATAATAATAATAATTTCATCAAAGATAATAATAATAATAAAAATGTATAATAATATTAATGACAATAATAATAATAACAATAATGATAATAATAATAACGATAATAATAATAATTTAATCAAAGATAATAATAATAATAAAAAAAAGTATAATAATATTAATGGCAATAATAATAATAATAATAACCATAATGATAATAATAAAAATTATTATTAATAATATTAATAACAATAACAATAATAATAATAATAATAATAATAATAATAATTTCATCAAAGATAATAATAATAAAAAAAGTATAATAATATTAATGACAATAATAATAATAATGATAATAATAATAATAATAATAACAACTATAATGATAATAATAAAAATTATTATTAATAATAATAACAATAACGATAATAATAATAATAATAATAATGCTAATAATAATAATTTCATAAAAAAATAATAATAATAATAATAATAATACAAAAAAATAATAATAATAATACCAATAATGACAATGATAATAATAAAAATAATAATAAAAATTAATAATATAATAATGACAATAATAATAATAAAAATTAATAATAATATTAATGACAATAATAATAATAATAATAATAATAAGTTAAAACCACTTAAACCCACTTAGAAAAACAAAAGTTTTTAAATCCATTAATATTAACCAATCTCTATAGTCATTTAGAATTGCAATAAAAGTGCTTTGAAAGTGCAGCAGTTTTGTGCCTCATCCCAAGAGATATCCTCCAACTATGACAGTTTATCAGGCAATGGGGCTGCTTTGGGTCCGTCCAACTGTCACTTGCCCTTTCTCCCTTCTTTCACTTCCACAGGTCATACATTTAACGCCAGGAAGCTGCTTCCTCCTCCAAAAACTAAATATTTTCTTTTCACACTTTGCAGAGCAGTCTTGGCTTGTCATTGAGGTCGGTAAACTGGATGGGCCTAAACACAGGGCCTCACAGGATATCGATCTTGTAGGTTTATTGAGTGGCTTTGGATAATATTTCTGGTCTTTTTGCTTATGTAAAGGGCTGATGGATTTTTCAGTGGTCAAAAAGCTCTTTTTTCTCTTAGACAAAGCAGGTAGAGCTTCTGAGACATCAAGATCGAAGTAAAGCGATTCCTTCCTTCTGATATTCGGGCTCTCACCAAGGGTGAGAAACCCGTAAGGAGTGGTAATTTTGGGAAGATGGGGCAAAGACAAAGCAGCTCTTGTAGGTGGGTCTGAATGGTCGGTAACCTTCTCCAGCTCTTCTGAAGGCAACTCCGATGTTTTTCTTTGAAGGCTTCTTCCTCTCAGCAAACTTGCTTTCTTAACATTAGATTCTGACTGGCTTCTCTTGGCTCTAGCAGATAAGGCAACATCCCACCGAGCTCTTTGCAACTCCCTTTTAATTTCAGGAATCCCTTCCATTGGATCAACATGCAAGAAAATGTGATCCACATCTAGAGAAGGAATGAAGAACTTTGGGATGCGGTCTGGTGTCACCACAATGTCAAAGATGTTTTTCTTCTTGTTGACCATGTGGCTTGACGACTTGTTCATTTTAAGTACTTTGTGCTTCATCATGGTCTCCAGGGCACTTTTGATGGAAATCGGCGCCGGGCTTGATAACATCGCCTTGTTCTCATGTGAAATGGATGTAGCAAGAAAGAAATCTCACCAAGAGAACTCAAGTTCTGTTCATAAAACATAGAATTCCGGACCACGTCATCCTCCGGTTTGTACGTCATTGGCATGGCAACCAAAGATAAGGAGCTTTTAAAAGGCTACTTGTTCACTTGTGCTGAAATTCACGTGGCATCCTCTCTCTCTCTTTCTCCGGAGCAGCTTATGTTCTTTGGGATATGGTTGCTGCTTTCATTTTCCTCCCGTCTTTTGTTGTATTTTTAGGACCTATGCATACGGTACTTTAATTCCAAGTAAGGATCCTCTTTGAAAATGAACCTCACTTCAGCCTTCTCTGCATCCGAGCCTTCTCCGGTGTTAATTAGGCTCCACAATGTGATACGGCCATCAAAGTCAACAGAAAACACACTGTAACCTTTCCACAAATGGGAAGCTGGACATTTCCCAACACGCTGCTTTGGGGAGACGGAGGCTGTTAATCATTCACAGGATATGGAGCTTTGAGTTGCAGGTAGCAGACAATAATAATGATGGAAAATGAAGATGGCTAATGAATAGGCAGGATTATTGCAGAGAAAAGGAAGCGATTAGCAAGCCGGAGTTGGCGGGTTTTTAAATGTGGTGTGACCATCCAGAATGGTAACCAGAGTAGAACGTGCTTAAAGTAGATGTAAACCCTAACCGGATGACATTTAGTTTGCCAAAGCCACCTGTACTATAAATATTTGTTTTCATAAAGTACTGCCTATACCAGGGGTGGACTGACAACTCATGGGGCCCCCGGGCAATAGGGGATCATGGGGCCCCTGTGTACTTGCCCACACTCAAAGCACACCCAAAAAGCCTATAAAAAAAGGTAAAAGGGGCATTTCATGGGGCCCCCTACTGACCCCGGGCCCTTGGGCAGTGTCCGAGTGCTCGAATGGTCAGTCCACCCCTGGCCTATACCTTTATTCATCCTTTGCTCTATTTCAGACCTGCTGATCTCCTGCAACTTCTTTCAACGACTTCCTGTCTACATGCACTTGGATGCGGATCATTGCTTTGGGCTGGCTTCCTAATAGTGACAATGGACCATACTGGTGTGTCCACCAGGGATGAGCTAAGGTTCATACTGAACCAGGGGCGGACTGACAACTCGTGGGGCCCCCGGGCAATAGGGGATCATGGGGCCCCTGTGTCCTCGCCCACACCCATAAAAGCCTATGAAAGTTACCAGGGGCATCTCATGGGGCCCCTTACTGACCCCAGGCCCTTGGGCAGTGCCCAAGTTTCCAAATGGTCAGTCCGCCCCTGGACTGAACTGAGTTTGACCCAAACAGTCTGTTATAAATTCTGTATGTAGCCCTACAGAACAGACAGTGCACATGTGCTTTTTCTGCTGCTTCACTGCAACAATGAAACAGGAAAAGTTTTATTCAGAGAAAAGACATATAGTTTTCCCATAGATGCAGCTACAAACATATAAACACTGCCATCTACTGGTTGAAGAATATATCTCTACTGAATACTGATGCAGTTGCTGCACAAAATACATGAACACTGTATCCTAACACCCCACTTAACGACTGCTCCTTATGTTAGTCCCATCTCTTCATCAGCAGCTCTGATCCACGTTTGTTTTTCACGGGTTGTAAGTCTTTGCATCTCATCCCTTGAATCTGGCTCTGGTTTTAATGCCAAATGAGCAACATAGGACAGACGTTTGGCTGGGATGCCTTTATTGCTTCTGGTGGATTTCCTGTTTGAAGTCTCTTGTAGCCTGGTTTCTTATTTTATAGTATTTGGATTGTGTCAGGGATGCGGGTGTGACCAGAGGTGTGTGGACTGACACAGGGAAACGCAAGCTTCAGATATGGTATAAATAAGACAATTTATTAAGACTAACAATACAAACATAAACGCAGTGCACCAAACCCCAAGCTAACACAAATACATACAACAAGGTGAAACAAACCCAAACCTAAACTGATACAGATAAACAGGTACTTACACATATAGAGCACAACGTCGTCAGGCAGGCCGGGTCGATAACTATCGGGCAGGTAGGTACAGGAGGAGCAGGTGGAGAGAATGGTCAGGGTCACAAGCCAGGGATCAAAACAGGAGAAGTCAGCAGAGGTCAGGATCAGGCAGGGTCAGCAACAAGTCAGGCAGAAACAGGAACAGGAATGCAGGTTACAAAGTACAGGGGCCCATGGAAAAACACACACCAAGGCACAGACTGCAGGTCTGGCCATCCCTTAAATACACCTGCAATCAGCCCCAGGTGATGGCTAATTGCTGAAGTGAACCTCTGGTTGTTGAGAGCACCCGCTGGCCAGCCCTGGTACTGCAGCCCACAAGGCAGGTGAGTCCCACCACTATTGGCAAGTCCATTCCTGACAGATTGTCTGCCTTCATTTCTATTTCTGTGTCACCTTGTTGCTTATCTTCATGTGACACTGATGTGGAATTTCCCTCAGTTTGAAGCGTTTGTGTAAGTTCATGAAATTTTGAGCACACTGTCTTTTCATCTGTAATTTTAGCCTTTGCAAGTGTGATATTCCCTTTTGTGATGGCACAACTGTCACCCTGGAAGGCCACTACATTGCCATATCCTGCAAGCTTCTTCACTGACAAAAGATTAGCTTCAAGAGCAGGGACATACAGGACATATTTCACAGATATCTTTCTGGTGACACTCCGGGAAATAGGACAGCAAAGAAAATCATCTCCTATTCCTTCTGATTCCATTATTTGCCTATTAGCTGTGGTGATTTTTTTCTGTGTTTTACTCTAGTCAAGGTGAATAAAGAAATTTCTGTCATTTGTCATGTGACTCGTAGCTCCTGAATCAACACACTGCTCCTCGGGTCCCTAGTGCCGACATCTTAACCACTTGCCGCCCAGCCACCGCATATAAACGGCGGCAGGGCGGCGCTCGTAGACAATTTGTAAACGCTATAACGTTCACGTAAACCAATTAATTTACACGTATTGGATTTTTTTTTTAGCAAAGACATATCGCAGAATGCATTTTGGCAGCAATTTATGACTAAATTTGATTTTTGCTTTTTTTTTTACTGGACATGTTTTATAGCAAAAAGTCCAAAATATTTTTTTTTTTCTCAAAATTGTCAGCCTTTTTTTTATAGCGCAAAAAATAAAAACCGCACAGGCGATCAAATACCACCGAAAGAAAGCTCAATTTGTGGGGAAAAAAAAGCATGTAAATTTAATTTATGTACTGTATTGCATGACCGCGCAATTGTCCATTAAACTAGCGCAGCGCTGTATAGCAGAAAAATGGCGTAAATTGCAGTATTTATACCATAGTTTGTAGACGCTATAACTTCGCACAAAAGCAATCAATATACACTTATTGGGTTTTTTTTTTTAAATTTATAACCAACTTTGAGTTTACTATATATTTTTTATAGCTGAAAGTAAAAAATATTGTTTTTCTTCAAAATTTTTGGCCTTTTTTTGTTTATAGCGTGAAAAATAAAAAGCGCACAGGTGATCAAATACCACCAAAAGAAAGCTCTATTTGTGTGAAAAAAAGGACGTAAATTTCGTTTGGGTGCAGCATTGCATGACCGCGCAATTATCAGTTGAATTAGTGCAGCGCCGAGTAGCAAAAAGAGGCCTGGTCATTAAGGGGGGTAAATCCTCAGGAGCTCAAGTGGTTAACTGAGGGAATCCAGCTGGGAAACCTCGCGGTTTCACAGTTGGGTTCCCACTACCCATGCGCCAGCCACGCTGTGCTTTGTTACTGGTCCTGCAGTCTTATGGGACTTGTGACGTCCCAGAAGGCTGCAGGCAAAGAGTGGGAAGATGAACTTTTGCTCGGATTGCTTTGGCGATCTGGGCATAAGTGGGAGCAGGTACCTGTCAAAAACAGATACTGGCTCTTCTCCCCTCCCCCCCCCCCAAAAAAAAGGTTTCAAAAATGTTAAAGGGAGGAGGAGGAAATGCAAAACTTCCCATTTTGGGTGAAGTTTGGCTTTAACCACATAAGGTCAACTCTATAGCAGTTTTACTGCTACAGGGCAGTCCTCCTGTGCAAAATCATGTATATATACATGATTGTGCACTTCCACCATAGGAGGCACGTGCGCCACAGCCAATCGCTTCCGCTGTGAACACTCACAGCAGAAGCCGATCTGCGAGTGCCGGTGAGTGGATGTTCACCAGCACCTGCCAATCTTCGGGCAGGACATGGAACAGAGCTCTGCCTATGTAAACAAGGCAGAGCTCTGTGCTGACAGGGGAGGAATGAAGAATTGCATGAACCTGCAAAGCTGGGAACACAATCCTTCACTTTCCCTAGTAAAAGCACCATCTAGTGTGCACCAACCACATAGCTAGGCACACACTTAATCCTTTGATCACCCTAGGTGTTTACCCCTTCCCAGACAGTGTCTCTTAGTACAGTGTCAGTGCATATTTTTAGCACTGACCACTGTATTAGTGTCACTGGTTCCCACAAAGTGACAGTTAGTGTAAAAATGTCTGCCGCAATATATAAGTCGCTGATCGCTGCCATTACTAGTATACAAAACAAAAACAATTCAGTATATATCCCATAGTTTGTAAATGCTATAACTTTTGTGCAAACTAATCAATATACACTTATTGGGATTTTTATGCCAAAAATATATAGCAGAATATACTTTGGACTAAATTTATGAAGAAATCTTCTTTTACATTTTATTTTAATTGGATATGTTTAATGGCAGAAAATAAAAAATTTTTTTTTTTGTTTTCAAAATTGCTCTTTTTTAGTTTATAATGCAAAAAGTAAAAGAAGCAGAGGTGACCAAATAGAAAGTTCTATTTGTGGGAAAAAATGACATACAATTGCAAGAAAAAGTAGACAAGTAATTCAACAAAACAATGGCTGCAACAGCACAGAATACGCCTTCTGGAGTGGCCCAGTCAGAGTCCTGACCTCAACCCGATTGAAATGCTGTGGCATGACCTTAAGAGAGCGATTCACACCAGACATCCCAAGAATATTGCTATACTGAAACAGTTTTGTGAAGAGGAGTGGTCCAAAATGACTCCAGATTGTTGTGCAGGTCTGATCTGCAACTACAGGAAACGTTTGGTTGAGGTTATTGCTGCCAAAGGAGGGTCAACCAGTTATTAAGTCCAAAGGTTCACATACTTTTTCCTCCCTGCACTGTGAATGTTTACATGTTATGTGCAATTAAACCATGACAACATCTAATGTTTGTGTAGTATTATGTTCAGCAGACTGTGTTCTTCTATTGTTGTGAGTTAGATGACGTTCAGAGCACATTTTATGCCCAATTCATGCAAAATTCCACGTAATCCCAAGGGGTTCACATACTTTTTCTTGCAACTGTAAATGTTTATGTATGGCATTGCATGACCGTGTAATTGTCAGTTAAAATAATGCAGTGCCGTATCGCAAAATATGACCTGGTCAGGAATGGGGGTAAATCTTCAGGAGATCAAGTGGTTAAGTGTGTTTCAGGTATTTCGAAACAGTTAAAAGTTCAACCTGGAAAAAAAAAAGAAGAATACATTCAGTTCCTCAAATCTTCTCTCATAGTTAAGCTTCTCTATGCCTCTTGTCAGTTTGATTGCCCTTCTCTGCATTTTCTCCAGTTCTCCCTTTTTATGAAATGTTGCCCAAAACTGAACTGCATATTCTGGATGAGGTGTTGTTGGACATCTCATTCCAAAACCATGGACATTATTGCAGAGATGTCCACCGCCCAATTACAACCTATAACTTCCTCCACTCATCAGGAAAGGCTTTCCACAAGATTTTGGAATGTGTTTGCGGGAATTTGTGTTCATTACTGATGTTGGATAAGAAGATTTAGCCCATGGTCAAAGTTCTAACTCATCCCAACAGTGTTCCGTAGGTCAGGGCTCTGTGCCGGACACTCGAGTTCTTCCACTGCAAACTCATCAAACCATGTCTTTATGGAGCTGGCTTTGTCCACATGGGTACAGTCATGCTAGAATAAGAAAAGGACCTTCACCAAACTGTTGCCACAAGCTTGAAGAGCACAGTGGTCTACAATGTCTTTGTATATTGTAGCATCAACATCCCCCT